TTGGTTGGAGATGGGAGGTCAGGGATGGTAGGGGAAAAACAAAGGAGGAGGCAACAATGCTTGATAAGAAATGGACTCATTACCTTGCTCATGTAATTGTAACCCCTCTGTATGGTCTTTTCACAATAAAAACCATATTAATAAAAAAAGAATGCTTATTGGTGACTAGAATGATGTCTATTTAGTATGTGACAGTGAATTTTGTATAATTTTGGGATATTTTGGGGGAAAGCAATCATCCTTATTTCAATGTGATTTTTGATGTGGTCCATTTAAAAAGAATCAGAAAATTGCTCTCAGATCCACCATTTTCCTCTTGACTTTTGGGCCAAAGGCATAAAAACATTAAGACAAAGAGAAAGTACAATTAAAGTCAAGAAACTGTGTGTGTGTGTGTGTGTGTGTGTGTGTGTACATGCATGTGCACCAGTACTAGGGCTTGAACTTGGGGCTGCACACTTATAGCTTGACTTTCTTGCTCACGCCTAGAACTCAACCACTTGGAGCCTCATTCCTATCCAGCATTTTGTTGGTTAACTGGAGATGCAGTCTTGCAGACATTTCTGCTGGGTTGGCTCCTGAGTATCTAGGGCTAGAGGTGTGAGTCACCAACATCCAACAAAATCAACAAGTTTTGTTTTTTTTTTTTTTTTTGGTCAGCCATGGGCTTTGAACTCTGGGCCTGGGCACTGACCCTGAGCTCTTTAGCGCAAGGCTAGCATTCTACCACTTGAGCCACAGTGCTACTTCCAGCTCTTTCTGTTTATGTGGTGCTGAGGAATCGAACACAGGGCCTCATGCATGCAAGGCAAGCACTCTACCACTAAGCCTCCTTCCAGCCCTCAACAAGAGCACCTCCTCAGGGAAAGGCTCCAGCTTAGGTGCTGGAGGATGCCTAAGAAAATAATGAATTAATATTTACTGAGTATTTATTTTTGTACTGGTAACATCTATAAAAATCACTAGCACCTTCTATACAATGGCTCATTTAACTCTCAGGATACTAAGGTTAACCGTGCTCTGCCACACAAAGCCTCCCTCTCCTCTTTCTTCTTTTCTTCCCTGTGTAACCTGCCACAGTTCCACTGCCAATAGAGAGGGCTATAGTAAGGGGAAGAGAGGGAGGAATATAAAAGAGGTAATGAGGAGAGGCTATATAGACATAGATAGAGAGACAGAAGGATAGAGCAAAGAGAGAGGGAAGGGAATATATCTACATTCAAAAGTCTGATTAAAAGTTTGATTCTAGAAGGAGGTACATGGAGCAATAACATATTTGTATTGTTATCAAAATTATCTTTACAGGCTACAGAGCAGGATGCTGGTCTTCTTAAATGAAGGCTTTGGTTAAATCTGTCATGATTTTCAAATTAATTAACAGAATTCATTTGCATTTTATCATCATCTTAGTTTTGTTCCAGCAAACTTGTTTTTCCTCCTTAGGATCAGCCAATGAGGATATATGAACAACCTGGTCCATGATTACTATCTGGCCAAAGTTACTGACAGTGATGGTAGTACTTGGGCCAAAGACATGTTGTGAATTATTTAATGTGATAAAAAGGAAAAAGAGAAAGCAAGACTCTTCCTAACTGGAACACCAGTGATAGATTTAAATATGATTATTAAGAAAATTAAACTTAAGGTATTACCCAAGTTCTTAGGTATTAAAATGTGCCTTTTCTAGAAACAAAGTTAATTCTTCCCATCTCTCCCAGGGGTATTATTTCCATACCTGGCTCCAGCCTAGGCTTTTGTTCTGGTGGGAATGTGGAAAAGCTGGCACTGGGACATCCTGGCCTGAGCACCCTAAGGAGGGCCTCCCTCCACATCCTTCCACATATACAGGCAACTCCTAAAGTATTTTCTTTTTTGCAATTGACTAGAATTTCCAGGAGGCTGTTTCCCCCAGGCACCTGAGGCAAAGCCCTACTTTTTTAAAAAAATTTTTAGCAGACAGGGTAGGCAGGCAAGGGGTTCCTTAGAAGGACGGAGAGTTTCACTTCTATTTGGCAATGCTCACCAGTGTATCAGAATGCTACGTTGTAAGGGGCCTACTCCTCTCATGCAGTTGCAAATGTGTACCTAAGAAACGAGTGATGTGTCACCAAACAAGATGCCACTGGAAGATTCTTCCTTCAGGCTCCAGGAGCTCCCTGGCCTTTGCTTCAAGCAGCTCTTGGATTTGCCTGGGGTTGAGTCCAAAGACCAGATGGGAATTCTTGCTGTCAGGCTGTATCTCTGAATACCAGGGCTGAAACGAAAGCACCACCTGCTTTTGGACAGTATCTTTAGGGCTCGGTGGAATAAAACATGTTAGCTGCTTTCCGTTTCTTTAATCAGTCTGGGCTCTCTTCAGAACCCACATGCCCCATTCTCCAGTCCATCTCATTTTTTAACAAGACGAAAGAGACTTTGAACTGTTGGGGCCCCAGCATTTGAATTCCATTTCTTTCATCTCTCTATTTCATTGATGGGAGACAACACACACTGTGTTTTGTTCATTAATTCTGCTGGCCAAGTAAATGTTAATTCTGCTGGCAAAAGTTAATGTAAGTTCATTGTTGCACTTCATTTAATGCTTCTAAAATGCCTAGGGAATGAACCAAAAAAAGAGGTCTGCTCTTCAGTCAGACCTCCAGAGAGAGCCTCTGGTTCTTGCTATGGCAACAGATCCCTGCTTCTGCCATAGAGATTGGCTGCTAATCCTACAGGTGTACAAACAAACTTCCCATGACTTGGAAGACCTCAGCCAGCCTATTGTTCAACCATTCATATTTTACTACTAGCCTAGGAGACTATGTAATTGTACATAATTTTTCCTTGTGAAATAGGTTGTTTTAAGAGAAATATCACTGAAACAAAGGGATAGTTTCAAATTCATTGTTTTCTTCTCTACTTCCCTTGTCAGTATGTAATCTTAGCGCTCATCTAAAAACTTAAAAATGATGCAAAGTTTCTCAACAATTTTTTTTAAATCTTGAGATATTGAATTTACTAATATCACACTAATACTGTGTTCTCTGGACATAGGAAGGCTTATTAACTAGAAATACAATAACATGGTTTTGTTAAATAGATACATACTCTAGCCTAACATAGTTTTGAGAAATATAGTAGCAGCTTAATAGAGACATAAACACTAGGTTTATCTTTAGACATGAGAAGTATGGCTTCAGAAAGTAATAGTATGATGTCTACTTGTATGCTAAACCTTTCAAGGCTTAAATAAATGGATTTTTCAGATTAAGGCTTAATTTTCTTTTTTTTTTCAAGCAGGAATAAACTTGTTTATTAACAGAGCAGGCCCTTTTTAAAGCAAAAAAGAGGGGGTGGCATGGCAAGGGAGGAAGAGGAACCAATCACTGTCAAGATCACACCCTATCATGCACCTAAGCTTCCACGGGCTGGTTATGCACTGAAGGTAAAGTAAATCGGGCTCTGCCCACTCAACTCCCTCTCAGCGCCATCTTTGCTGCCCATGTGCTCTACAGATTCCCCCTTTTATGTTTTAATGGCAGACCCACCTCTCAGTTAGTTATCCTTTTCCCTCCACTGTAAAGGTTATTTTAACAGGATTAGATCGGTAAGAATAGCATTGGCCACGGGGGGGTTCAAGGCAAGTCTGGGGGGTCGAGATTCACCAGACAAGGATAGGGAGGGCCTTTGTGCATGATCCAAGAGCCCATCCCAGTTACCTCATATCCCCACCTAGCACAGTAACAAACATCAGCCCCGCTACAAGGCAGTATTTCTCAAGTTTCAGCACATATTCAGCTGAGGACTTGTGACAGGCTGCTGGAATTCATTTCTACATCCGCTAGAAGTTTCTGATTCAGTAAGTAAGGCCCGAGAATTTCCATTTCTAATAAGTTCCTAGATGATGCTGATACCACAAGATGTGAGAGCACATCTCTGAGAAGCGCTGCTCTAAGGAAATTAGAACTCCTTCTTTGTGATCTGACTGCAGGAACTTTTGGGAATTCATTCTAAGCACTTTACACTTTCGATGACCTGACCATTTTGGCTTCTGAATAAAATCAGGGAAGGTCACCCTAACATATGGCCCCATGGAATGCTGACTATTGTAAGTTACAAGAACTCAAAGAACAGCACGCACTGGAAGAACCTTTGCCGAGACAGCTCCTTGTCAGCTTAAAGTCTAGACCCTCCACAGAAGACAACAATCACTTTTGGCTCCTTCCTTTATCAACAAGTTAGCCAAGAGCCTCTATGTCTAGTCACATGTAATCTTTCTGAGACAAATGTGTTTTATTCACTGGTATGTACAAGTAGACAGAATCAAACCTATACCATCTCTCTAGTTTTCTTTTTTGGCAACAGTGGATTTTTTTCAGATCCTTCAGACAATACTCTTCCTCCTGGCCTGCCTCAGTTTTTCTACTCTGAATGAGCATTACCCTTGTCTGCTGTTTCAATACCAAAGAACTCATAATTAAGGAAAATTGCCAGAGCATACAAAACAAAGTTATCTTTCAGCTTCTTTCCATTATACAATTCAAGGAATGACACCTCTCACCGAGTACCAAATGGGGCCATCCTCTGATCACGGGTTAGGTGAACTAAAATTTAATAGGAAAAAGTCTAATTTTCCAGCATTTTGGCTCAAGAGACTAGAGAGCTTCTTTAGGGATGAAACAATTCCCAAGCAAAAAGTACATGGACTGAAACCAAACTTTATATGTATTTCAGAATCATCTATTAACTGCCATACTCTGGAAAAGGATTTTTATGGAAATAGGGAAATATCCCTGAAAAATGTATAATGGCCCAAACCTTCATGTGGAGAAACAACTGGAGCAATTTAAAGCACTATGTTCCTAAGAAAGAGCTTAAAGTTATGTTAATAAAATGTAGAGTCATTCATAGATGAAAGTTTAGTATAACTCAAATCAAAGTGAGTTATTGGCCATCTCCCCATCTATGATATGACCGCTCATTGTGAGCCCTCCTGGGTGCCTGGCAGTTATCAGCATTACCTGATTCATCGACTCTCATCTTTTTAGTAGGGCTGTCACAAGTCTCATCATCAGACATTTCCATTTCTTCTTCACGACGAATGCCCATGAGCTGTTCACTTTGAGCATTCCGGAGCTCCTGGAAGTACAGGATACATGAATGTCAGAGTCGTTGTGGCGTTTCCTACTGGTATTTGGGTATATTATGGCTGACATATCAACATCTAGAGTCTAAGGTGTTCACCCAAACATCCCTCCCACCTAATCTAAATGAAGTTCTGAGGGAAATGGGGTAGAACAAAGGCCAAAGGCTCTGGTTTCAGAGTTGAGATAAATCCATGCTCACCAAGTTAAGGGCTCATATAGTTCAGGGCTCTCTGGAAATTATTTAATGCTTTTTGAGTCTCAGTTTCCTCATTTGTTAAAACAAAAAGGGGGACAATAATATCTATCTAGCCAACCTGTTGTAAGGATGATGTAGCTAGCACAAAGCAGGGAGCATTCTCCTGGTAAGAACTTGAGCAATGGAATTTTCAAGTGGCCTAAGTTGACCACTAGTCAGTGTGTAGCTTTGGGACTATTTCTTCATCACTCTTAACCTCAATTTGCTCACTAGAATACTGTGGTCCTAATGGTTTTCATAGTGAAATACATTAGATGTTAAAGACTTGCTATTATGCTCAGTACTAGACTTGCAGAGTTATTATTTACTTATTGATATTCTTGATAATGTTGACTAATGTTATCACGACCCACGCCCGTGTGTGTGTGTGTGTGTGTGTGTGTGTGTGTGTGTGTGTATGGGTGAGACAGAAAGAGTGAGAGAAAGAGAGGAAGGACACAAACTCCTACACTTACACCATGCAGGCATCCACAATTTAAACTTCAAATGTTGGCAAACAAAAAAAATAAAGGTCTTCTGTTTTTACATAATCATGTAAGCTTTAAAGGTTTGCATTGGTGGCTCTGGCATTACTAAGTAGAGCCTTGGATCCTTGTGACCATTTCCTGCTTTCTCCATTGAGCAGGAGAAACTAACTGATTCAATCAACTCAGTCTACTTGAGGGCCTTTCTCTACTCATCCTGAAAGAGGGAATACTAATAAATTAAGTTTGTGAAACTAATTGTACAGTGTTAAGAATTAAACAATATATTTCTTACTACTAAGCCGAATCAAGACATTATACCCACTTATGTGAAATAGATACATGGTTATTTTATACTGTTTTAGATTATGCACCTGTGAATCCTTATTCATTCTGTTCATCTAGCTAGCTAGCTAGCTATCGTCCTCAGAACGACTTAAGATAGGGGGAAGTCTTCATTATTCTTTTTACTGCTTTAAAATGAAGTCTCTTAAAAACAGAGTCAAATCATTAAAATAATTTTATTCTATAATACATGGAGGGGTAATAATACATTTTTATACTTAATTAGTAGCATGACCTTAAATATAGTTCCACTACCCATCCAATAGATGTGTATCTGTCACTCCATGTTACAGGCTCCCTCCCTTAGGTCACAGATTTTAACTGTGCCAAGATGGAAAGGAATAGATTTATTGCTAACAGTATTCGAACCATCACCTCTGTATTCTGGAAATCACCCTTGTTGAGGACAGGAATGCAGTAGGGTATAGGGGCAAGTTCCAGGAAAAGGCATTACTCAGCATTCCTGAAAGGCTACTGGCAAGACAGATGTTGCCTCTTTATATGACCATGATACCTAGAAGAAAGAGGTCTCAGTTCTGTCTTAAATAATGTTATAAGGTCTTGGAGATGGGCCTCAAACTTTATTAGTGGGGAGAGTTTTAGGTGGTGGACAGCTAATTTTTCTATTGACAAAGAGACCAAATCCAAGAGAAGTAGCTTGAAAGTACATGAAACAAGGAAAAGTCAGATAGAAAGAATAAATGAAGCTGGAAGGGCCTGTTGCTTAGTCCTACAATTAATGACAAATTGTCAGGCAATTTGTTACTGAGGGGAGAGGTAGCACAAAGGAAAAGCATGGAGGAAAGAAAAAAAAAACCAAGGGTGTTTCCACAGGGTGCCTCTGGTTCAGCAGTAAATCACTAGTACATTCTAATAAATCTGTAGAGGTGTTGCAGATAATTAACAGATGCTGTACATGGGAATGCAGAAAAAAATCAAGCCAATTATCAAGCTTATATGCAACTGAGAAATCATCCACAATGTTAAATTACCAACCAGTATTTAATCAATTAAGCGACATGTAGGAGAGAAAATCAAAGGTAATTTAGAGTTCCATTTCCCAACGTGTACAGAAAGATGGGGTGGAAGTGGCAGGAAGGCACAAAGACCATTCACAGGAGGGCTTTTGAGGATTACACTCCATCCATCATCAGGAAATACCCATTGTATCCAAAGACCATACAGAGAAGGCAAGCTACCTCAGACTCATGCTGGATGTGTGGCAAGCCCTACTCTGGGCAGTACCAGTCTGGGGGATGGTAAGGATAATGGAATGTGGGCAGTCAGACAAGGCAAGAAGCCTGATATCTATCAGTATTTTGCAATTGTGGACACTCACATGCTAATGATGGTCTTTTTGTGCCCAGGTATACTTAGTATTCATTTCATATGCCATTTTCCTAACATTTTTTAGTCATATTCATTTCTTACGGAAGGAGAAATATCATAGACTGATCACTCCCAGATCTAAGTCAGAGTTGATGGATTCCAATTTGTGTTTTACTTTCAATACATCCAAAAAAGGCTGTTTTGTTGTTGTTTATTTTTGTTTTTCCCTTTCCCCTCCTAAAAACAAGTCTTTTGATTTTTTGGTAAAAATACTGTACAGAGGGGTTACAATTACATGGGCAAAGTAATGAGTGCATTACTCATCAAGCATTGCTGAAAACAAATCTTGGCTTTGGTCTTAAATTGGTGTTAGGGAGAACCCTTTATTGTTGGGTCCCTGAAAAATTAAAAAGAAATCCACTTCCTTCTTATTTACAACCTTGAATCTATCACCAACCATCTTCTGAGGCACTAGTGAGCACAATTTAAAGTGTCCTTCTCATCAACAAACTGCACTAGCATTGTAAGTGTCCTGTTATTTGTGAAGTCATTCAGTATTCACCATAATAGCAGTGATAATAATTCATTTAGTATTCCCATCTAGTGCCATTGGTATTCAACTGTAGCATTAGTTAATGGGCACTTAAAATGTTACCCAAATGATTGATGTTGAGTGCTTTGTGGTTCCTCAAACTCTTCATAAGACACTTATTAATTAATTAATTTTTTATTTTTTACAGGTGTGAGCCAAAATCATTAAGGAAATAAACCTTACCTTCTATAAGTTTGTGATATTTGAAAGAGGGGACTATCATTTAGAGTACTTTAATATCAACATGCTAGAGATGAAAAGGCATCCAAATGGAAAGCATTCTCTCATTTATTTTTGAAGAAGCAAACAAAGACAGTATACTTACTTTCACATGACAGGTTCAAAGCGTACACTACACTGTGGAGTCAAAAATAACAGCTGTATGACCAATGGCTAATGTCTGAGTGGCAGGGAAGGCCATGTCCGGACTCTGTCATTCAGGGTAGATACTCACACTTCACACATGCACTGATGTTGAAAGACGGCCTCAGCTAGCCTGGACATTGACACCCCTTGTGAGACTTGCTCTGGGCAGAGAACTTGCTCTGGGCAGAGACTTGCTCCCTGGCAGAACCTCAGGGCTAGCACAAGGAACACAGCTTACGATGAAGAAATATGAGTAGGAAGGCATACTTGCCATTTTTAGCCCAAAGAGCAAACTGTCATCATCACATAGAACACGGCAGGGAAAAAGAAATGTGTACTCAAAAACTCATTTTCTATATTAAGTTACACTTGTCTTGAAACTGCTTTTAGGCAAAAGAACCTTGGTAGCGTTTGGATTTCTTCTACCAAGAATGAGAAAGATTCCATTCTCCATTTGTGGAGGAGAAAACATGTTCTAAGTGTGAAGTCAGCTGCTTTTCTGGACCAAGAACAGGTCGGAGGTGGATTTGAAGGGGACAATGAGAGGAAAATGGCAGGAGGACCGCCTGCAATAACAAAAACCATAATGGCTGCAGCTACAGTACTCTCTGCCAATCCAGCTGTGTGATGGTGGTTAAAAAGTAATCATAAAATCACCAACCTCAGAATGCTTTCGCCAAATGTCTATGTTCTTGCGCTGAGCTTTCGAGAAATGGTCCCAAGCTTTTTGTCTGGTAGAAGCGTTGAAAACGGCCACAATCTGCTCAACTTTGGTGAACAAGGAAGTCAAACAAGACAAGTAATTTATGTTGTGATCACTATAGGGAAGCAAAGCAAAGACACTAGGAGTCTATGGATGATGTCACAATAGAAACAACATCATCGATATCCGTCCAATTTGTGCCTTTTTGTACTTACATTTTTAGCAAGGTGGGGGTTGTCTCCTTTCAAGTCTGTATCCATAACTTTAGGTTAAAACAAATTCTAAGTTCCATGGGGGAAAAGGCCTCTATGTCTAAGCATTCTTTAGGTCTTGTTTACGAATGTAATTTAGTAGATCTACAGACATACAGACCATGGCATTGGTATATAAGCCTGGCTAGAGGCTTAATAGTGAAGCCAAGGCCATGTGGCTGAATTTCAAAAGCCAAACACATTTCCTCTTTTGGCCACTATGTCTAGGACCCAAACATAGCTCTCTAAAGACATTACCGTGTCCAGGTTCCAAGGCCAACCAATGAATAGGTCCACTAACTCCTATAACCTTTAGGGCTGTTTTTCTTCCTTGCTCTTTTTCCTCCTCCTTTTTCAGTGACTGAAGTCAGTCCCTCCCTGGCAGGTCATGGGAGCCCTCGCTTCCACTCTTAGGCACATGAAGGTTCATTTAGTCAGCAGGCCCTAGCATACAGGTCAGATTGCCATACATCCAGGCTATACCACAATCATCTCCCATTCTCTATTATCCTGTGGTAATTTTCCTAAGGGTGCCCTCCCGTTGGTGCTTAAACCGTTTGAGATTCTATCACCGTGACCTCACTGAGTACTTCTGTTATTTCCAGGCACAGTGCTAGTGGAATGGTAAAATGCTGAGGGGTTTTGAACAAAACTAGATAAAGATCTTAGAAGTAGGTATTAGAGCTGGGGCCAAACCCATAATAGCCTCAATCTTCCTTAAGCTTATACTGGTCTAGTATGAATGGGATTAAGAGGACTAGAGCACTGAATAGACCATAGGAATAAGCCTCAAACTTTAAATAGTTAGGAACGCACAATTAAAATTAGATTCTTTTTTTGGGGGGTCTGGTTGTGGGGCCTGTACTCTGGGCCTGGGCTCTGTCCCTCAGCTCTTCAGCTCAAGGCTAGTGCTCTACTACTTGAGCCACAGCACTGCTTCCACCTTTTTTTTTTTTTTTCTTATGTGTTGCTGAGGAATCAAACCCAGGGCCTCAGGCATGCAAGGCAAGTGCTCTACCACTGAGCCACCTTCCCATCCCTAAAATTAGCTTCTTATAGATGCTAACACCCTCTCACAGAAACCTTTTTTAAGTTATTCCCAGGGCTCTATTATAACAAAGGACAATAAAGCTCTTCCAGATCTATTGGTGTCCAAAGAGTGCCAAAGAGTAATAGAAAAATAACAGTAATAATCCACACTGAAGAAAAACTCTGAATGCTACAGTTGTTAAACCACACATAAAAGTGTATGAAGGAGTGTAAGAAAATAGGAACACATTCCTAGTCACACCATGGTGAATATCTTATAATGCTAATAATAAGTAAAAATACTTATCAATTTGTGGGTGATTTTCAAGGAGGGTTTTATGTTTACTCTTTGCTATTTTCAAGAACCTCAATTGCAAACTATCTATTTAGCAAACTTCGTCACATCATGTTTTTTCTCTCCCTATTGATGGGAGAATTTTCCATTAACTTGGTTTACACTTTCACTGAGTTTATGTAGAGTCCCTCCTTAGCCTCCTTTGGAAAAATTCATGCTGCCAGCTTAGTCATACTGAGCTGTTCTGAATGCTGACCTTGCCCTGATCACCCCTCTCCTCCACCAGGGTATAGTGCAGATGGTGAGGTAGAAAACTTGTTGAGCTCTACCACCTGGGCTTCCTGCTAGTTTGCTGTGCATGCAGGGTAAGTGACTGGATATTTCAGTTGTCTTTTGTGGAAACAATACATAGCAGTCAGTAACCACAAGTCAGTTCAGAGGTCATAAGGGAGCAGGGGATGACCATGAGATTATTGAAAATTTAAGACCCATTGATTTCAATTACAGAGTTGTTGTTGTTTTAAGAGCTATGGTACTGACACCAGGGCTGAAGGAAGGGACAATCGGTGTTTCAGTTGAATATTTGGGTTAAAAATAGTGAAAATGCTGCTGTCATAAAGGGAAGGTGGAGCCGAGAGCCGGTGGCTCACGCCTGTAATCCTAGCTACTCAGGAGGCTGAGATCTGAGGATCACAGTTCAAAGCCAGCCCAGGCAGCAACGTCCATGAGACTCTTATCTCCAATAAACCACTAGAAAACTGGAAGTGGCACTGTGGCTTAAGCGGTAGAGCGCTCACCTTGAGCTGAAGAGCGCAGGGACAGCGCCCAAGCCCAGAGTTCAAGCCCCACGACCTACAAAAAACAATAACAACAACAAAAAATAACAAATAAAGGGAAAGTGCGTAGCAAAAAAAGGTACAGCAAAGAAAAAATTGTGTGTGTGTATGTGTGTGTGTGTGTGTGTGTGTGTGTGTGTGTGTGTGTGAAGTGAAGAGGCACTAATGATGCACAGACAGGTATACAGAAGGTAAAGAACTATAAGAAAACCCAATGGAGCCGGATGCCCATGGTTCACACCTGTAATCCCAGCTACTCAGGAGGTTGAGATCTGAAGATCATGGTTTGAAGCCAGCCTGGGCAGGAAAGTCCATGTGATTTTATCTTCAATTAATCACCAAAAAGCTGAAAGTGGAATTGCTGCTCAAATAGTAGAGCACTAGCTTTGAACACAAAACCTCAGGGACAGCACCTGAACTCAAAACTCAAACAGGACTGGCACAAAAAGAAAGAGAGAGAGGGAGAGACAGCGACAGAGACAGACAGACAGACAGATACAGACATAGAAACAGACAGCGCAAGGAAGGAAGGAAGGAAGGAAGAAAGGAAGGAAGGAAGGAAGGCAGGCAGGCAGGCAGGCAGGCAGGCAGGCAGGCAGGCAGGAAAGCAGGCAGGAAGGCAGGAAGGCAAGAAGGCAGGAAGTTAGGAAGGCAGGAAGGCAGGAAGGGAGGAAGGGAGGGAGGGAGGGAGAGAGAAAGAGAGGAGAGAAAGAAAGAGAGAGAAAGAAAGAGAAAGAAAGGAAGAAAGAAAGAGAGAGAAAGGGAAAGAGAGAGAGAGAGAAAGAAAAGAAGAACAGACAGATTCAATGGCCTATAATGCATACCTTATGGATAAAAATAAATCTACTCAAGTATGTTTGTGTTGAAGACATTGATTAAGACTAAATGTTGACTGCTTAGAACATCTGATTATATACATGAGGAATGGGTTCAGTTCATTCACTCATTCATTCAACAAAAATCTGGAATCTTACTAAATACTTGGCTGATTGCTAGAAATACACCATTTAAGATATAATATTTGAGATATCAGTTTGGGGGAAGAAAAAGACAAGCAGATATTTATCCTGTACAAGAAAGGTATGCATGACCAGGCAAGACAGAACTAAATAGCCAGATGGAATAGGGATCATGCAGACCTTTTGATGAATCACGCTTGGCAGAAAAATAATGGTGGCTGTTTAAAGGCTGGAGTTGTGAAAGGTCTTGAAATTAGCTGATCTCCAGATGGGGCAAATGCCAGAGGAGAAGGAATCAGAAAAGATCGTGTATGTTCTAATCCACATTATGAAATTTTATGTGGTAGGTGGCAGAGCTGGAAGAGGGAGCAGGATTTGTTTGGTAGACGTGACTAAGGCTTATTTAGATAGGGAGAGCTAATAGGACAAGGGGCCGACTTGCTCTGTGAGAGGCAGAGAGAAGGAAGAACAAGATGCCTCTGGTTTGGAAGAACATCAATGAAAACACAAGCACACAGAGAGGTCTAAGAGAGAAGATAAAGAATTTGCTTTCAGGCCCTTTGAGCCTGAGGGTGTCTTACAGACATCTATGTGAAGCTAAAACATGGGTAGGGATTCAGAAAGAAGTCAGAATTTAAAAACTTACTGGCTAATCTCTTTTTGGAACCATATTCTTTCAACAGGATAATGAATTAAAAGTAAAAGCAAATGTGATTTAATCCATTTATGAGGTCTTATACTCCCCCCCCACCCTGCAATAATGGTAACTCCAAGATACAGGGAGAGAAACGGTGCAACTCAGCTTATGCTTGAGAAATACTCACAGTGAATTTAGTCTGGCTGAATTATTTCTCTCTCTGTTGCACAGACTGCCCCCAGCCAGCCATTTGTCTTGCATATGAAAGTTGCTTGTCTCACAAAAGGACTCTGGTAGAGCCCTTCCTTCAGCATGAATTCATCATCTTTCTAGAAAAAGTACCTCAAACAGTATGCCCTAATGAGTGTGATTCAAAGACCATGTTGTGAAAAATCACAGATCATATGATGAGCACCATTGATGTCACAGGTGAAAACTATACCCTGGGCATTATATGCAGCAGACAACACCAAAGAGACAGCCCAGGAGTTAAATTATTCCTGCTTCTCTAGTATAATTCATATTACTTGGTTTATGTACAAGAAAGCTACAAGTACTTACTGGCTATAAGAGATGTTCAAGACTCAGCTTCCCTGTGAAAGAGTTAAACAGTGAACAAGATGGCATTGGCTTTTGTTCAAAATGGCAGGCTTCCAGAAGGCTGTACTATAGGCAGAACTAATTGAGATCAAAACCCCACTTCCCCACTCAGTGCCTTCAACTTCCAGTGATATATATATATGTGTGTGTGTGTGTGTGTGTGTGTGTGTGTGCGCACGCGCGTATATATATGTATATATACATATGTATATACACATGTGTACACACACACACACACACACACACACACACACACACACACACACACACACACACACACACACATATATATGTGTGGCTCAGAAAAGTTTAGGATTTTTTGTGAATCTCACTAGACCAGGCTAACTTAGTACTCAATTTGTGATCCACCTGCTTTGGCCTCTTCTCATAAAGTGAAAGTACTTAACAAAAAAGGTACAGCAAGTATTGAGTACAGAGATTACAGGCATGTACCGCAT